AACCTATACAAATGCTATAAGTCACAACAAACGATTCACACGCTTGACCGTCTCTGCCTCTGTCTGCAACTCAATTCCATTGTTGCCGTCACTTCTTGGCGGTCTTATATACAAGAATACCGCACATCGAGCATTCAAGAACCTTCGAGAATATCATGACGTGTTACTAGCGTCACGTGACTTCCGCTCTCATAACAATACATTTTGTTATCATTGGTTATGAAATTTAAATGTAATTTTTACGAATTTGGAAAAAGAAGGAAATTACAGAAAATACATTCAGAAAACGCGCCCTGTTCTTGTTTTCGTGCATATAATTGTATGAAAGTACATTAGGCGGATGATGCTAATCTTCATGCAGCTTTGATGCTGATGCGTGTCTTGTTCATTTCCCTCATTAATGTATGTGATTCCTTCCAAACTGTCCAGTCAACGTGCAGTTTAACAAATTATGATGTGAAGAGAGGATGGACTGGATGCTGATGTCGTGTGGGCTGATTTGAGCTTCTTCAAGTACGGTGCAAGGGAGTAAGAAGATCTGGATAAAAATGTTGTGCATTATTATGGAAAGCAAACATCAGTTACAATAATCTTAAAAAATGAACATTGGGCGTTCTTTCAGCAACATGAGTATCTAACATAATCTGAGAAACCTGAATTACTTGATCATTGAATTGGTACTCTATATGTTCAATCATAGTATTAACAAATTTGTTAACGTTTTTGAAGGTCTGACTTTCTGACTCATTTTCAAGAATCAGCTATCGTTTTGAATCTATGACAACTATAGCAGTAGAGTTTTCTTTACTTAAATGGGCATAGTGAGCCCCTATATCTCTTAAATGTGCTAAACAGGTTTAGGTTTTCTTTCTGCAAAACTTTGCTGAAATTATACACTGCGCATAAATCCTCATCCATTTCTAGAAAAATACTTCCTGCTAAGGATGCTAAATCTGCATCATCTTTGTGTAGGTGTTCCCCTATATCATAATTGAGCCGTAACAAGTTAAGACGTCATGAACAGATTTGTAATTATTGAGAAAGCACACTTCGATTGATTCTGGAGTTTTTAATTCAGGTTCTTAAAATGACCTTTCATACTCGTGCAACATGCGTTTACGCTCTGATGATTTGTAGAATAGTGAATACATGTTTTTGATGACATGAACAACCCTCTTTACAGACATAATTTTAATTCTAGCACTGGTTACAACTAAAGATAAAAGATGGGTCCTACATTTACATAAGGAATTTCTCTTTCTGCTTTCTTTGAAAGTCGCTTATGCACCCCTACTTATTTTTCCTGAAAACCTGGCAGCAGCATCAAAAGTGCAAGATATTATTTTCTTGTAATCCAGGTTCCTTTCCATCAGCTCTCTGTCAAATGTACTCATAATGGTTTTGGAATTAGTGTTTGTTTGATCTGTAATGTTCAATAATTTTATTTCACTGTAATCAGACATATTGCAAATCAAAATTGACAACTGGCTCACATTGTTGATACCTGATGATTCGTCAGCCATTATAGAGTAATACTTGTTATTCAATATTCCGAGGTGTCACAATCATCTAGAACTTTGGTAATGCAGGTCAGCAGATCGAAAGCTGTAGCTTTGCTTACATATGTCGAATGGTCTCTTCGATTTTTTACCCATTGTTTCAGAGAGTCGTCTTGTAGCATAAGAATATAAGAAATCAAATTTTCATACCTCGCAGAATGTGGGATTTCTTCTTTTACTAAGAAGTAGATGCTTGTCACAACTTCAACCATTGCTTCCCTGTTGCGACTAAATTCCCGAGTCAACTGTTCAACAAGTAATGTATGAACTGGTCTTCACGAAGCTTATGCATTGCCTGAGCGTGAGTATGTTTCTTTGACTTAGAATGTTTGTCGAGCTTCCAGGTATTCCCATTTGCTTTTCGAAAGTTGATAAACGGAGTTGTTATGAAAACACCACCTGTTCTATGTATTGCATCTAAATCATTTTTCAAAAATTCTCGGAAGTACTTACAAAACACCCCTCCAAAGGATATATATATATATAAAAAAACAGCCATTCATATTTCTCTTCCAATTTCTTCCGGTATTTAACCAAATTCGATGAAGAGGGCGAGGAAGCTGCAGTGGTAGGGGTTAACGAATCAACATCTCTAATACTAGTTCCAGAACATGGCTGCTTAACTTCAGTTTGAGCCAGAGATTCAGCATCACTTTTCACTACTTGCAGTTTACGTTTTTTTTGTAACAAACTGTATAATTGATTTCTGCGACATACTTCATCACAGAAAATTTCAAATCACACACACACACAAAAAATAATCATAATGTTAAATAACGCGCAAAACAAACAAATACCGTAAAAACACTACTATACAAATAGTTCCCACATACGCTTATAAAGCACAAACCGCTTTTCTAGAAACTTCCACATGTCTAATAGTGTCTACACGCTTGGAGAAAGTTGAAGAATATTCAGTAATATGTCTATGTTTAGCTTATAGAATCTAACTCTAATTCTGGATTCTTTGATACAAGCACCTTCCTTCTCGCGATACACACTGGCTAGCTATCAAGGTCAAACACACCTTTCTTCGAGAAGTTTTCAGAATTTTGATCTGTTCTGTTTGTATTGTTACGTCTCCGTTGGTTAGTTAATTTTCCGTAACTTCGTTCCGACGAAACTTTAGCGACACAAGTCCTTTCTTAAATAAAACTGGTTTATTCTTTCCGAATACAACTTTACGATACACTTAATTTCAACAGTCGCTCTATAACAAACGCTATAACTCACTTCTCACGAGCTCGACTTCAACAATACTCCGTTCAATTACATACTCTCTGACTGCAGTTCAATTACTCATTACCCTCTTGTTCCGTCACGTTGTGAACGTCTTATATATACATATCTAGTAAATGCTAGGGCATTCTTGAAGGAACATGATATTTCTAGAAAGTGGTTGCGTGATACTAGTCACGTGACCTCGCTGACGCAACAGTATAATCGTTGGGTTCTGGTGTTCGATGAACTAATAATAAATCTTGACTCATGCGTCACCACTTTCATTCGGTTGTTAACGCCTCTCCGTATAAATAGGGGAAAAAAGTATGAAAAAACAACAAAGTAGTTGACATATTTTAAGGGGAAATTCCCCCTGTAAACCGCCTGAATTGAACTATTTGAGTAACCTTGCTGTTAACAATATTTCAGTCATGAATCTAAAAAATATTTATTGAATCTTTTATTACTACTTCAGAAAATTATATATGATTTTTTCAGGGTTAATGCTGTATTAAAAACAGTTAATACTTGACAGAATTATGTTCATTTTACTTTCGTATGTGTCATTTCAATATTTCAGTAGCCTAGAAGAAGGAGATATGTTAGTTGTTTTTATTGGACTTCACTCGCTCTATAGCGTCGTAAAATTTATCAACATTTATTCACTGCTTTATCACAAGTTTCTTTGTCATCCTAAGTGTAAAGGCTATTTTCATGTTATAAGAGAGTGGTTTAACTTTATTGATTTTCTTATTTTTCCTATTTAAATCTAATATTAGTACAGTCTTTGGACAAAACAAAACAGAGAACAGTATATCTTAATCAGGGGTGAAATTCTCAATGAAAAAAGTAGAAGTACTCAGCTGGCTGAAGTGGTTTTGTTTTTGAAATAGGAAAAAATCTGCGTGTAAATATAAAATACGACAAAGCAGCTCGAATAAGTCCCGGTATTAGTACTGTCTTAAAAATAAGTTCCGGTACTCAGTACCAGTGAGTACCGGCAGAATTTTACCCCTGATTTTGATTATTGTTGTGTTTTGTTTCTGGTGTCACCAGAAGTATAAATCATTTTTTGCGTTTGTTAGATAATAATAATCTGCCACCATTACTCATGTAGTTCTATACGCCTCTACTTTAGTATGTATGATTTAACACGCATCATTTATTAATAAATTAGTATTTAATAGAATTAAGCTTAAAATGTTGAATTATATGTGATTTTTTTTTTCACTTTTGTTTTCTCATTAAAACAGAGTAGTTTAAACATTTGTAGTTTCAGCGGTAGGAAGTTTATTGTTAAGACTATATCGGCATAGAAAAAACATCACTTAGTATTAATAATAAAAATAAAATAATTAGTAGAAACTCGTCTTCTCGAATGTACCTATCATTATAAAGTGTAAATGTGAGCAGATATAACTGGCATATATTTATATAGAATGATGCATGTATGAGAGATTCTTGATTGTGAAATGCAACTAAACTATTTACGGTGTCGGTGAGTAGCGGGTGTGTTAATGGATAGAGTAGTTATTTATTCACTTTTTTGAAAGAGAAATGCTAGTAAAATAAATGTCAACTTGCAGTCTTTCATCTGTTTTACTTTTAGCATAAACAAGATATTTAGCTTAGAGATAAGGTAAACATAATCGTAACAAACACACTATAGGCTGTAGCATTGGTGGTAACTTGGTTAATTGTAGAGTTGAAGACTGAAGTTTTATATATACATTGATTTAAGTAAATATAATTTGTAAATATGTTATTACTAAATGTTGAAAGATGGAGGTAATGTAAATATTTTAAAATATACTTATTTCTGTTGACATAGTCTGAGCTTGATATAGTTAATTGTCTGTGGATAATTTGGGTTTTTGTTATTAATATTAATTCATTAATTTTATTTTCAACAATAACAAAAGGTAAAAAAAAATCAGTTTCAGATTATGAAACAAAGGAGAAGGTTTTTTATAGCTCAAATTGAAGGGTGGCTGTTTGGGAGCCTGCAATTAAAGCAAAGAACTAAGGGAGGAAGTAGCCATTGTGTTAGGAGACTGATAGTATTGTACTTGTTTAGTACCTTCCTTATATTATTTTGTATGAAACTTAACTTTTACATTAATAAGTATTGTGAAAGAAATATTGGCTTGTTCAAACAAGACTGATCCATGATCTGTGAAATCAGGCAGTTTTTGAACTTACTGAAATAAGAAAGATATGTTTTTGGAGAGTTACCAGATTTTTGTTGCTTACTTTTTTTTATTTCAGCTGTTTTGTGAATTTTATCATTAGAATTAAGTGAGATTACCACATATTTTGGATGACCAGGCTGCAAGTAAAAGGAGATTTACTGACTATATATGTAGTGTGAATACATGCACGTGTAGTATGATTTTCTTCTGTCATAAACACTTCTTTTAGTTTTATGTGCCATAGTAGGTTACACTATAGATAGTTTTCATTTAGTGGTAAAAATTTATACATAAGTATTATTTTTATAGAATATTAATAATTATACTACCTTGTATCATCTAGTCATAAATGAACTTAATTGGCATAGTTATATTAAAGATTTAGTAATTAAAAACTTGTATAAGTAATATATAAAAGTAATTACTTGTATTATTGTGTTGGGTATAAAAGGTTAGTAATAATTTACATATCAACTAATTTCTAGAAGAGTAAGAGGTGGAAGAATTGGAATCTGTACTTGCAAGAGATCAGAAATTTCAGTTAAGTGAAACAGTTTCTGGAGACAATGCAGGATGAAGAAGTGTCTACTACTCAAACAGTGACTCACGACAGTGGACTTAAGCAACAGTTAGAAGAGATGCAGAATGTTTGTGCTCAACTGGTAAAATTTTTCTTTTAATTTTTACACTGTGTGTATGTGTGTGATATTATGTTTGCCCATAAAAAAACATTAGGCTTAAAAATAATGCTAATGTAAAATAAATGTGCCACTTTTTAGTTTCTGTTACTATCATTAGTGAATTACCTACAAATTATCAACTGTAATTTTGATGATATTCTTCCTGTGTGCTGATGGCTTTCCCCATTTTGTCTTCATTCCAGTCATTAATATATTAACAGTTAATGAATAGGCATACTAAATTACAATCTAACATACCTGATCCTCACCATAACATAGACCCTCAGTTTACTACTTGTTTGACACTGTAACAACAAGGAAAACAAATCTAAGCCTAACTTAGTATAAAATTGCACAAAATTTAAGTGAATTGAACCAATACAATTCAAAATTGTAAAAAATTAAGAAAAATATCAGGTAGGCCTTAAATAAAGCTTAAGTTTTAATTGTCTCAAAAAGTACTCTCTAGTGTTCTCTCCAAGGCCTGCTTTATTGTAATATGTTTGTATATTTAAAAAATAGTATATAACCTTTATTGTTGTGTTAAAATTTTTCATAACAATAGCATTGAACAGGGATTTCCAAATCATTACACACCTAAGTAGCCAGACAATTTTCTGGGACTTGTGCTCCGTTAAGAGAGGGAATGATTATTCTAGTATATTTCATTAAAGTCTAGGATGCTGTTATATCTTGTATTTTTGTTTAGTTTCTTCAGAAACATAATTACTTTATAAATAATTTTTAAAATATATTTTTTTTACTATGCCTTGTTTTGTTATTCACTTCAAACTACACTTTGGGAACTGCTGGCAACAGAACATTTAACTTTACATCAAAATATTGTAGAATGATATAAAACCTCTGTCTCTGTTCCACTCACTCATCTGGGAAATTTGCCAAAATGTATCTCAGATGATATCATATTGAACATCATCAATTCTACTTCTCAATGCATGACACCCAATGGCAATTCAGTGCAATAGTTGGATGCATCATTACATACAATATTCAGAGCATGTCATTGTATGGTACAAAGAAAAAGTCCTTGATTTTAGGTTTCTCTTATTATTTTTTGAAGACCATTCATCTTCTTCAGGCTTTCAGAAGTTTCTCATTATTGATTAGGATAGTTTTTATATTGTAATAAAACTTTTAAATTTCAACTTTGTTATAAAAAAAACAATTGTTTGGCTAAGAATTTTTGAGTTGATAGATCTGCCTGTATGAATGTAAAGCATTAACATTAGATGTATATAATTTTATATACATCCCACCAGACATTAGAGTAGCAAGTAAGTAATATAGTATGAAAATTTATCCTTTAATATACTTCCAAAAGTCTGTTTATCATTAACTATGGATGCATTTTACTTGTCCTGTTGTGACAATGTTTTGTTGCATTTTGCACATGCTGCCATACACACATTTTATGTTCAAACTTAATGATTTTCTTTTGTGATGATCATCTCAGTTTTGGTTATTGTTACAGTATATGTTTCTGAAAATACTACCTACCATTGGTAGACAAAGGTTTTCGAATGGCTGTTCAAACACTTAGAGCTATTTAAGTGTTGGGAAGCGGATAAGTTACATGACATATGTCCAGGTTATAAGGAGAAGGTTATTAACTTGTCATCAGGCAAGTAACTTTTACAAAAGCCTAGAGAAGGAGTTGATCACATAGATAGTGACAACTATCTGAATAGTATGACTTTTAAGATTTACCATTCCACTGCCGATATCAATGTGGACAACTAGATAAATTATTTATGTCCAGATAGCAAAGAACAAAGTTTATAAGATCAACTTCTTCCCAGAAAGACCAGTTTCAACTTTACAGTTGACTATATAAATCTTATTTGGATTTTTTTTAGGTCACCATAAGATGCCCATACTCTTCACAGGTAGGATTGAAAGTTTCATGTGTTTATAAATGATCCACATATTTGTGATCAGTGAGCAAGAGGAGAGTGATATGATTAATGTAACATTGAATATTATAATGTTATGTGGAAGTATGAGCATAAAGAGACAAATGGATCTCATGATTTTGAGGGTAGTATTTAATACTCTATAATGTATTGGCATTTTATCATAATTAGCTATACAACAGGATAAGACTTTTTCTGATGCATGATAATGCTCAATTTCGTATGCCAGGTTTGTGATTAATTTCCTTAGACAAGAAACCATAGAGCTCATAAATTGTCCAGAAAGAATAAAGTCCTCATTTTAGTCTCATAGCAAATTTCTTGGACCTCCCTTGAATGCTACATACATCAGTTCTTTAACTTACTGAGTGATGTGCGAGAGCTTGGCATCACAATGACTGATAAATGGGTCAAGACATGATGTCACCTGCTATGCTTGCAGTTACAGAAATTATATTGATGCAAAAGTATGGTTGTAGATAGTACAGAATTTTACATTTTGGATGGAATGGTTCAGTCAGACCCTTATTTTTCCCTACTTTGAAACTGAAGTTACTGATATTTCATGGATTGTAAGTAACAGTTTATTGTCAGTGAAACTTATACATTAACTACATTTGGTGGATACATTGTTCTCCTAAAATGTAGCATAAGTTGAAAATGACGTATCTGTTAGTGTGTGTGATTTAGTCTGGTTTATGTATGAAGTTTTAAATTATAGCAACTAAAGTGGTTTTTAATGTATAATTACTTTCCATGAACTTGCATACTTACTGGATTTCTTTTACCTTAATCATGTTTGTGTTTACTCTTGGCTAGAATAATGAAAAGTTTGAGCTGATTGAACAGCTAATTATGCAAAAGAATACAAGTAAAGAACTAGAAGAACGAGTTGCTCAACAAGAAAAAGAACTTCACAAACTAAAGAATCAGGTAATTATTGTTGGATATACAAGCCTGTTTAACTTAAGAGTTATTATTATTATTTAGTGATTATTAGTTTTCATAACAAGAGTGTTAAAAGTTATTTATTTTAAAAGTAATAGTTATAACAAGTTTTGTTACATAACTCAGTACGAAGTGTACATTGTGTATGTAGTTTAATTATTGTACATTTGTAATATTGTTGACATCTTACACGATGCTTCTAAGTTTTATTTATTATGTGTAATGTTGCTATTAGAGGGTTAGATATTTCTAGATTTTTCTGTCGCATGTTATAAGTAATTGCAGACACAGAGAAGAAATTAAAGTAAGAGAAAGTAAAAGTGAAAAAAGTTAAGACTGTAAGGGGTGATTTCAGAAGTGAAAGTTTTACAGTTTGTATTGTAACAACAGAGTTAGAGAAGAAATTAAAGTAAGAGAAAGTAAAAGTGAAAAGTTAAGACTGTAAGGGGTGATTTCAGAAGTGAAAGTTTTACAGTTTGTATTGTAATAACAGAGATAGAGAAGAGTAATTCAGCTTGTAAAGTTGGTTCTAAAGTAATTGAAACCAACTTGTATGGACTTTGGATGTAAAAGAGAATGATTTAAAGCTCTGGATACAACTGTGGTAACCCATGGGGTAACATAAGTAAACTTATCACTAATTGTTTTGTGATAAAAGAGGAGAGAAGAAATAATTTATTTTGTCAGTTGGGTTCTACAGTAACTGAACCAGCCTGTGTGGAGTTTTGATGAAAAAGTGAATTATTTAAAGCTCTAGATTCAACTATGGTAAACAATAGTGTAATGAATTTTTGCACATACATTTGACATGTTTTAAATATATATTATTTTAAAACAGGCGGATTGTGTATGTCTGTTTATTATTGACATTTATCACCAGTAAGCTAGACACCTACTGTAAAAAAATTTGGTGCTATAAAAACCTGACAATTATAAATAATAAGAAAAACTGTACCTCCATAGTGGCTCAGCAGTAAGTCTAATGGCTTATATGCTAAAATTTGGGTTTTGTTACTTGGGGTGGGCAGAGCATAGATAGACAGATTGTTATGTAGCATTATGCTTTATAATAAAGAAACAATATGAAATAAGTAAGGTGAAAAAACCAAAAAAAGTAATTTATTCTTAGTCTTAATGAATTGTTTAATTCCTTTAGTTACGTGATTGTATATAAATATGGAAACCTTAAATTCTGCTCACATTAATTAGTGTATACTAACATATTTTTATAATTAAAAAAAAATTCCACAATAACGGCTATTTAACAATTTTTATGTTGAAGAATGAATGTATATTTTGTGTAAAAAGGTTAAAGTGCTTGATTTTGACAAACTAGTTACACTACAATGCAGAAACATTGAATTCTGTGTTTAAATATAGATAATATGTATAATGCTATATTTGTAATATTGAACCACTGAATCTTTTATAAAGTTCAGCTATTGAAATCTTGCTCTTTGTACCTTTCCTGTCTGTAGAATAGTCAGTCTTGTTCATACACATTTCATTTTTTGGTGTTTTTTTATCTGTTATGAGTTTTTTCAATTTAATTTTAGAAGTTTCTAGTGGGATTAAAACATTGCTTTCCAATAGCACTTGTGTATCTTGTTTTCTGCTCGTGTGTTTTTCTGATTTGAGAAATTCTAACATCTCTAAATTTAAAGCTCAGTCCTGTTTTTCTTGCATACATCTTTGTTTTGATGTCATCTCCTCTAGTGTGCAACCTGTATCATAGATATGTGTAGATGTACTTGACTGAAGCTCAACACGCTGTTCCAATATCATATACTTCAAAATTGAATTTTCATCTGCTGATTCTCTTCTGTTCTTTTGTACCACTTTTTTTTGATTTACTATATAATATGTTTTGTTTGAAAACACTAAGTGTAAATCAGAAGTTTGAGATTTTTGTTTTTAAACTGCTAGTTCTTGCACTCTAAACTGCACTAGTGTTTGGAAGGGATGGATACAGAGCAACTGATAACCAATTTTAATACAGTCAGTATAAGTATTCTTTTGTACATTTTCATGAGAGTGAAGTTTATTTTTTTAGGACTGCCTTACAGATATTCCAGATGGTAAAGTACTACAACTACCCTGTTACTGCATTTTTGAGGTTCAGTTTTTATTCTTTTATGATTTTTTTTTCAGGCATTTGTTGCAATATACAGTATTCGTTTTAATATTTTTCAGTTTCTTATAAAATTACATCTGTAATTTGTATTACACCAGTCATCAGTACAGCTATGAAATTATAGCAGAGGGAGACTAATTTCGAAAGACCTTAGGTGCATGTATTCATGATCTTGTATACTTTAGATAACTGTAAATTACTTAAAAGCTGGAGGATGCTAAATCCTCATTTCAATCTTTCACGTGATCTTTCATAATCTGCCATTCACTTCAGAAGGCTACTGGGCTCCTAAATCAAAGTGTATAAGATTATTTTGCATAATTGGATTAAAAAAATATATTGTATTTTAAACTCAGCCTTATAAAATTCAACTAAGTGATCTTCCATAAATACAGAAAATCAATAGTATCAAAGATAATATTTATTAGGTTTAATACATGATTTATAACTGCAGTTCCTCATTGATTGTGATCTGTTTTCTTCCCTTTCTGTTTTTTATATATATTTTTCAATTAATCTTCTTAATACTTGGTTTCTAATATATAATGTAGAAATTTCTTGCATATGTTGTTTGTTTTGACATTAATTAAATTTATTTTATTATTAAAGTATATACATTTCTACTTTACTTTCCATTTCTTCAGAAAGCAGAAATTCACAACTTCAGATAGATAGTATTACAATTAAGTGAAAATTCAGGTAACTATAACACAGACAGCATGAGTGTTTTATTTTTTCCTATTGATGTAATACTGTATATTCTGACAGTTATTTTATGTTTTGTTAATTTTTGTCAATCTTTGTCAGTACTAGCTTTGCTAGTTTTGAATGCATATATTTGATATAAGGTAATTTTCTTAGCTTTCTAATAGGGAACAACAACTTAAAAACCTGGAACAAACTTTCAACATGAAAACTTTCCAACACCACCAAATAGTTGATAGAATGAGACATTATGAAGCCCAAAGTCAATTAACTAAAGTTCTGCAAGAGGATCTAACAAAGGCTCAGGTGATTAAAGTTGCATTTATTTTTTGGTGCACGGTATAGATATTTTAACACCCATTTTTAAGAACCTTTATAAATTTTGTTGTGCTTTTCTTTAATACATTTAATACATGTATTTTAAATTAGTTCTTTAGATATAAATGTTTTTATTTGAAGACAAAATGTTTTGAAATAATTGTAAAGCTATTTCTCTTAATAATTTAATGTTTAGCTCTGAAGAAGTACATAGTAAAAGTGCCACTGAATATGCTTCTTTTTCTGACATTGTATCTTGGGGAAAAAATCCTTCTTTCAGCATTGTAAACATTTTGAAGAGATGTTATTGTGTTTTGACATAACTTATATGTAGCAACAAAAATGTACAAAATATCAAAATGTTTGTACATCAGATTAATAGCAAATGAATACACATCTGCATAAGTAAGCGTAGTTTCAATTCAGACTTACATGTGGTTCATATGTGTTTTATCTATCTGTTTATCTTGCAATTTGACTTCAGTTGATCTCTGTTGAAGTTCGTATGTCACGTAATCCACAACTGTGCATGTGCTCTGAGATAGTTTTGTGTATTATTTTAGTGAGCTGGCCAACCAAAGTCCATTTCTTAATGTGTCAAGTTGCAAATTGTAAGGTTCAGTGGCCATACCACAATGCCACTGCATACTCTCTGAACTTTCATCTGTTTCAATGTTAGAAGAGTGACAATAAATCCCATTGTTTGGTAAAAAGCCAGATAAAGCTCTTGTGGCAGTAGGTACTGCTGACATAGTGTTTTCCCTCTGGTCAATAGTTCAAAATTAGGGATGGCTGTACTTGAACCTCTGACCTGGCCATATAAAGCCTGTGTTGCATAAGGTGCTATTCATGTTGAAAATACTAAATTCCTTATTTAAAACATCCACACTTTACATGATGTTATTCCCTAATGTGTTTGTTGTATCAAAAACCTTGATACAACAAACTCATGATGCACTTGCTGAAGTTATTTAAATTCTTCCTGTCCAATTGTGCAGAAAACATTTCTGCATCATCGTGAAATGTGTTACTGTAGTTAGACATTAACTCAAGACTGTATTTTTATCCTGTTTTGAATTTTTTTTATAGAATATTGTGATGGATTTATTATTATATATTTATTTTAATATCAATGTTTATTTAGATTAAGTTTATATTTAGAAATATGCATAG